AAGCCAGTGTTTATTAAAATAGTTTCATTTTCAAAATGTATTAGAATCTATAGACACCTGTATATATAGGTTAATTTTTAGAGAGGAAGGGAGAGGGAGAGAGAGAAACATTGATGTGAGAGTAAAACATTGATTGGCCACTTCCTGCAGGCTTCCCACTAGGGTTCGAGCCTGAAACCCAGGTGTGTGCCCTGACCAGGAATAGAACAGGCAACCCTTTGGGTGCACAGACACACCCAACCAACTGAGCCACAAGGGCCAGGGCCATTGTTTGAATCTTTGTTGTTGTTAATCCTCACTGAGGATATTTTCCCATTGATTTTTAGATAGAGTGAGAGGGAGGAAGGGGGAGAGAGAGAGAAACATTAATGTGAGAGAGACATATTGATTGGTTGCTTCCAGCACAACCCCAACCAGGGCCAGGAATTGGACCTGCAGCTCAGTTATGTGCCTTTGACCGGAATTGAACCCATGACCCTTCGGTCCTTAGGCTGATGTTCTAACCACTGAGCAAATCAGACAGGGCCATTTTCTGAATCTTTAAACAAGCTAATAGCCATAGTGAAAAGCACCACAAGCATTTATTTATACACATAACACATTGTTTTCATTAATACCTATGAAAGATGTTGCCATGAGAATGTAGGGTGACTTGCTTTGGGTTTAATATTACCTACAAGGACATTCCAGGGAGCTCCAGCTGTGAGGTCCTGCAGGATGCACAATTCCTGCCTCCTCTGGCCCCTCCCAGGCACACCATCCAGATGAAAAACCTATAATGGTGGAGTGAAAAACTACTGAACAGCAGCTGTACTTACCTTTTTTCAATAGGATCACTATCTTCAGGAGAGTAAATCTCAATTATCTGATTGGGGATGTTTTTCCAGTAATATATTCTACCTTTGTAAGATTCTACAGTTTTCACTGAGACTTATTAAGGAAACTATTAGGACACAATAGTAAAGCTGAATCCTAGTGGTCAAGACCTTAAATTCAGATAAGAGACAAGAACTAAAAAACAAGCAAACATATAAGCATCCAGTTTAGTTGTGATAAAGAATTCAGTTTATCTTTGTTCATTCAGCAAACACCAGTCTGTGAAAATGTCCTTTATATCCCCAGATGGGTTGCAAACCCTGCTTACTGCCAGTCTTTAAACAAGCCCAAAGAAACCCATACCACTCAACCAACTGAGATACTATTACCCATTGAGAGCCAGGTTTTCTCAAATCTAGTAGATCTGGGAGTTTGCAACAATTTCTGGCAAAAATAAGATAAGCTTATTTGGCTGAAGAAAGGGTAGCACAGCTGTCTGATTAGGAAATAGCTGAAAATGAAACAAGGGGCAGGTTAAAACATAAATGCTGTCTTAGTGAGTTCTAGAGCTTATTCCACTTGCTTTTCTCAAAAGAAAAAAAGACTAGTGAAAGGAACTGAAGGGTAATTTGAGGTAAGAGGCGAATTGATTTTGTATTCAAAGGGCAGGTTTCTTTAAGGTTTATTACAAATAACTCATCCCTGACCTCTACCACACACACACACACACACACACACACACACACACACACACAGTGTACTATAAACTACTGACCTGTGGTTTTTCTTTTCGATATGGCAAGGATCTGATGCCATATTTTAGTTTTAAAAATGTACTCAGTAGCCCTGGCCGGTTTTGCTCAGTGGTTAGAGCTTCGACCTGAGGTCCAGAGAGATCTGGGTGCAGTTCCTGCTAAGGGCACGTGCCTTGGCTGAGGTTTGTCCCCAGCCCTGGTTGGGTTGTGCAGGTGGCAGCCACTCGATGTGTTCCCTTCACATCGATGTTTCTCTCTCTCTCTCTTCCTTGCTCTTCCTCCCACTCTGTCTGAACAAAAAATGGAAAAAAATGTCCTTGGGTAAGGATATAAAAAAAAAATGTACCCAGTATTTCATGCATGAAAGATATCTGTCATCCCTGAACTCACTTAAGTGACAGTTAGGAAGCTATTACCCTTATCATTGTCTGTTATTCCATTAGCTTTTCATTATATAATGAGAAACAGGCTATAAATATACCTCTCCAATCTGATGAGAAATTATTCTACCTACAGTTTATCTTGTGAACATCACCAGATACAGTGTGCCAATAAAATAGCTTACATATTTATCTGATCTCTACTGATCATACCATTTCTCCCACTCTGGTTCCTGTCCACCCACAGCCTGGGCCTAAAGCTACCAAAAATGGTTTAGAACTCTTCGGTAACAATTCTTACATTTCAGAGATCTTCTGGAAATATGCCTCCACCCCTTCTTCTCTGGTATACCATTAAATAAACCTATGGCTCCAGCTGTCTGGTGGTTGGATCTGTTCCTAGGCACCTACAGGGCTGTACCAGCCAACACAAACTCAACAATATTTCTGTTGTAACCTGCTTCACTTGACAGCACATAAATGCAGTCCCTCTTTTGAATTAAGAGTGCATATACATCTTCAGTGCATTGCAACAGCCTCTGAGGTGCAGATCAGAGAAGGTGCAATCTGTTTGTCAGTCATATTACGAATATGGGGAGGGAAGGCATTAGCAGCCCAGAGAAGGGTAGGAAGGGGGCCAGGGAGGCCAGTGATCTGCAAGGACTCTTAGTCCCAAGGTAAAGGCACTAGACCTTCTCTGGCAACACATACTAATATGTACCCCATGCACTATTTCTCTTATAGGTTTTGAATTCATCTTCAATTAGCTAGCAGTTACTTTTGGTTCTTTATGCCTCCTGTTTATCACAGATAAAAGAATCAATTCCACAAAAACCATGCCATCAATAATTGCTCAGCAGCCTTCTTAACCTCTTTATTTCTTCCCTCAGCTTCTTCCACCTTTTACTATCCTTTCCTTCTGAAGGAATGTGAAATGGGCACAACTTTCCAGGTCACCAATGGGACGTCCACTCTGTACAACCTGGGCTGCCTTCTGGGAAGAGCTCTGAAAGGCAGAATGATGGTAAAGAGCAGAGGCTTTGGAGTCAGAGGACCTTAGGTTCATCTGGCAGGCAGTAGCAGTGCAATTTTGAAGTTTACCTTTCTGCAAAATGAAGATATAAACCTAATTTACAGACTTGTTCTATCATAATTTATCTCCACACACTTCCAACCAAATGTCAGCTCCCACTTTGAAGCTAGTCATTCTTTGAGCAATTGTATTGCTAGGAATTTATCCTGTAGTTGCTTCAACACAAGTTGCAAAGATACGTATGCTATGGGGATATTCACTGCTACATCATTTAAAATAGCAAAAACTATCAAACAATGGTAAGTGTCCATTGATAACACTGTTAAATACTACATAGCCATAGGAAACAAGATGAATCTCAAACTGCTGACATAAGATCTCTAAGATATATCACCAAGTGAATAAAAACAAGTTGTAACATTTGAATATTTACTGAAGGCATATTGTACTTCTTTAGGAATTTCTTGCATTGGTGATGGTCCATTCATACCAAGCAAGACCTGGTAAAAACATTTGCATTATTTGTTGTATTAGGGCTTTTTAAGCCCTAATACAGGGCCGTGGACCAAACTGCAAACCGAGGTACGTGCCCTTGACCAGAACTGACCCTGCAACTCTTCAGTCTGTGGGCTGCCACTCTATTGCTGAGCCAAACTAGCCAGGGCTCAACGTTAAGGATTTAAACTCACATGGCTTTGGTGATATGAAGGAGCCAAAACCCTTTCAGATGATTTTTAAGTCACCATGTCTAACAATAGGCTGATTTCTTCCCTTGTTTACAAACAGAATTCCCAGCAAGTCCCATCTCAGATGAAGTTTTATAGGATATTTATTTTTTTTCAATGAAAGAAAAGTTTATTTGAAAAACAGACAGACTCCCAGTAGTGGGGAGGGGACCCAAGTGGGTTGCTCTTTATAGGGTATTTTATTTTTATTTTTTTTAAATTTTATTTATTTATTTTATCCTCACCCAAGGACATTTTTGCATTTATCTTCAGATAGAGCAGGAGGGAGGGAGGGAGAAAGAGAGAGAGAAACATCAATGTGAGAGAGACACATTGAGTGGTTGTCACCCACACGACCCCAACCGGGACCGGGGACAAACTGCAACCAAGGTACATGCCATTAGCAGGAACCGAACCCATGACTCTCTGGTCTGCGGGCCGAAGCTCTAACCGCTGAGCAAAACTGGCCAGGGCATTTATAGGGTATTTTAAAAAACCATCAGAAACAGTGAACGCTGCAGACAGATTTAAATGATGCTTTGAAACAGGAACTGACACCACCATGGAGTGTGTATCATCTGCCAGGCAGCGTATAACATGGAGAAGCTGAGCTCTGCACTCATGACCCCTTTGCCTACATGCCCCTAAAGTACCACCATTATTTATTCGAACCGTAAAACATTGTATTACAACACTGATGTGAACCTATGGGATTAAAAATAATAAAACCAAAGCCCGGCTGGTGTGGCTCAGTGGCTGAGCGTCGACCCGTGCACCCAGAGATCACCAGTTCGATTTCCGGTCAGGACACATGCCCAGGTTGCGGGCCCGATCCCCAGTGTGGGGCATGCAGGAGGCGGCTACTCTCTCCCTCCCTCCCTCTTCCTCTCTCTCTAAAACCAATAAAGAAAACAAAATAATAATAAAACCAAGGACCCCGGGAAAATCCTGCTCTGCCCATGCCAATGAAGATACAACACATTCTGGAAGGGTCCAATGCAGGAAGACAAGGGGGAAAAGGAAGAAAAAAGTGGGAGAGGAAGAAGAGATAGAAGCAAAAGGCAAAAGAAGGGAAAACACTTGAGCAAAAAAATATTCATGTTTTAAATGTTTTTATTGATTTTTATTTTTAAAATATGTTTTTATTGATTTTTTAGAAAGAAAGGGAGAGATAGAAACATCGATGTGAGAGAAATACACTGATTGACTGCCTCCTGCACGTCCCCTACTGGGGATGGAGCCTGCAAGCCCCCAGCATGTGACCTGACCAGGAATCGGACCGATGACCTCTTGGTGCATGGGATGATGCTCAATCCACTGAACCACACCAGGTGGGCTGAACAAAAAAATATTCTGTGGGGAGCAATAGTGCCCAGGCACATGGTAAAAGCTCAATAAATATTTGCTGAACCAATAGAGAAAAAAGAGCTAACCCTTGGTTAGTGCTGTATGACCAGTCTTCCTGGTGGACTTAGAAATAAATGGTGCTAATGCTGTAACAGAAATGGGAATTCCAAGGAAGTTCAGGACAAAAACCTGCATGAACAATATTTTTCCAGGGTTAAAAAAAGAAAAAAGGAACACAGAAAGCTATATGATAAAAAGATATAGCCTCCATACCCTGCTTCTCCTGATATGTGCCCTCCCAGAAACATGCAAGCATGTTTTCCCCTTTAAACAAAAGAGAATCATAAAGTATATATTGCAACTCGCTTCTTTAGTATCAGGGGTATGCCAGGCAAATGGGCTCACACAGGATGGCAGAGATATTACAGCAGTCTGCAAATGCTACAGGTTATATTTAAAAACCGAGATAGCAAAATTATTTTCTTTTACTCTGAAATTTCAGAAAAGTAAATAGACATATGCATGATTTATGTTAATTTAGAGATGCTGATAGGAATTAAGACCAAAGAGGGCTTCTGGGGAAACTCTCACTATTTCTTTCAGAAGCTCTTCGAAGCAGGAGCTGACTTCTCTCCACTTCCCCATACTCCTGACCATAGGCCTACACACTGGCCTAACTTTCAAAGTAGCTTCTCGAAGATGGACAATCTGGAAGAAAAAAGAAACAGGAATCAGTGTCTTCTCTAACTGCTGAAGCGTTTCCTCTTCCCTTCCACATTACACCACCCTCCTCTCACTGCCGAAGCTGTTACTACTCACATCGGTTCCCACAGCTCTTCCAGGGTTGGTCCGGACTTTAAAACAATGCATGGTATTTACATCATGGCTACGTGAACACTGTGCCAGGCCAGACCAGGCATGGGCCAGGATGACTTTCCCAACGTCACATGTGCCCCCTTGAGGAACAGTGTTCCCCAGCATCAAGCACAGTCTCTCCTCTGTGCAAGCACAGTTGCTTTTGGAAGCAAATACCTTATAGTTGCTTAGATGACTGCAGTTCGCTTCCACCTGGATCTTTACTCTCTTAAACAATGTGAAAGCTCTTGTGTTGCATAGCCCTTTGACACCCTTGTCTTTTCTATCTCTTTCTAGTCTTTCTCGATCCTCCCTCCTCTTGATCAACATTTGAGCTGTAACTCGAGGTCCCTGCAGTTGTTGGGACTCCCTTCATTACTGTCCAGATCGGGAATTGGTTCCCTGAGAACCATGTCTTCCTTTTTCTCGGTTTATTCCTTATTTTGCTGGGGGTATTGCTAAATCCCTTCATAGGAAGAGATGTGGGGTGGGGCACTTGTATGTCTGAAAACATCTGGATAGATTTGGCAGGGTGTAAATACAGGTGGCAAGTCATTTTTCCCTGTGAAGTTGGAGGGTATGTCTCCATTGTATTCCTCTGACTGCTGCTAAGACAGGTTGGTTCAGTCTAATTCTTGTTTTTTCATAGGCGAGCCTTTCTCCGAGAAGGATCTTTAGGATTCTCATCACTAATGTTTTTGAAGTTTCAACTGGATGTGTCTCGCTCATTCATTGGGACAAGTTACTTGGGGCTTTTCACTTAAGACCCAAGAACTTTTGCATTGGTTGTTTCCTTCTCTTTTCGATTTTCTAGGACATTTACTCAACTCTTACCTGCTAACTGTCTGTTCAGAGCACAGACCTCAGCTGCTCTGTCCTCCCGTGTGCCATCAACTAGGAGCCCAGAGCCTCCCGGGCCCCAGCAGAGGAGGCCGGACCTTCGCTGCAGGCCCTCCTTAGCTTATGAGACGGTTTCTCCCCTCACTGCCAACCTGCGACAAGCCGTGCTCCTCCTCCAGAAACGTGTTGCAATATAATCCTTCATTCCTTGGTTACTGCCAACTCTCATTACTGCCCCTCTCCCCTCAGTGATGCCTGAAATGGCATCACTTTAGTTGGAGTCACACAATTCATAAATATGCCTCATTAAGAAAAAGGCAGAACTCTCACCAGAAGCAACGTACCTGTTTAGAACAGCCCATTCACTTGCTCAGTTTCAGGGTCCAAATCAATGTCGTAGAAACAGGGCCGGGTAGGAAGTCCAGGCATTGTGCTCATCTAGGAGATGTGAAATGGCATTAAAAATAAACTTAGTGATCTTTTTCCCATGTTTCCCTCAGACAGAAAGCCCAAGGCACAAAGATAGAATATTATTTTATAGTTGTCAGTAAAGTGGCACTACTACTCTTGCTAACACGTTAAAAATGAAGTCACAGCTCCGGTTATGACCTCGAAGAGGAACCCTCACATCCTTTAGCAAACGGAACGCCAGGCTTCACTATGCTGACACCTTCCATGCTGACAGCTGCGACAAGAAGTAGCAGGTGCTGAGGAGACGAAGGAGTCAGTCACTCACCTCTTCAGCACTCACTTCACAGGACCGAAAGGAGGAACAGGGCCTGTCTGATTGTTAATTTTCTTTTAATCAGTCTTGCATAGATACCCATATAATTTTTGCTTCAGCAACACATTATAAATATTTTTTAATTAATTTTTTTTTAGAGAGAGGAAGGGAGAAATAGAAATATCAATGTAAAAGAGAAACATCTATCGGCTGCCTCCTGCACGACCCCCACTGGGGATCGAGCCCACAACCAGACATGTGCCCTGACTGGGAATTGAACGGAGACCTCTCAGTCCATGGGATGACGCTCAATCCACTGAGCTACACCAACCGGGCTCAGTAACACATTATAAATTAGTATCCTTTAACTTGGGCCAAGACATTTTTCTACATAATATAAATAGTTTTACAATCGCTATTTTTACTGGTCCAAGTTGACCTTCTAAAATCGAACCTGTGGGGTGGGGGTTGGGGGTGGGAAGAGATAAAATACAGAACTTATATGCATGTATCCATAACCGATGGACATGGACAACAAAGCCGGGGACGGGGCGGGGGGGATGGGAAGGGGGGGTGCCAATGGAGTAAAAAAGGAGAAACAACTGTAACAACAACAACAAAAATTTTTTAAATAAAATAAAACCGAACCTGTAATGCTTATGGCTTATATTTGCACTTACTTCTTTTCTAAAGATTTGGCTTTGACAAATACTTACGTGCAAATTCATAAAGCCTATAAGTGAAAACTCAGTATATTTCACCTGTAACAATGTCCTACATAATGAATACACACAAGTTCCAAATCAGACCCAGAAAGGAAAAAAGTTCAAGTTGAACTTTTACAATTTAAAATGTCACAGAAAAGGATGAGTCACCTTCTGTAACACGAAACATTTACATTTTAGAAAACCTAATTCTGACATGTGAGTGCCAATCATTACTCCTCAGAACACGCTATAGGGAGATGAGATCGGTCTCTATTCTCAAATTCTGTAAGAGATAAGCCACTGCTGGGTGTGGGGAAGGACAGGAAGGGGTGGGTCCTCAGACTGGCAGAAAAGCCTGAAGACGACATGATGAAGATAAAGTTCATGTGCACATTGATGCAGATATCCATGAGCATGTTAGCAGATGCTAAAGATGGTCCCCAAAACAGCGATTAGGATCCTCGGTATTTTCACTCTTATCCGAAGAGGATTTCCCCCCTAAACATTGGTCAAATTGATAATCAGAAAAAATATAAAGATGAAAAGATGTTACATACACATATGAACTTAGACATAAAACTCTGCAAAGAAGCCATCACACCTTGAATTAATACATAAAATACTCAAATATACAAGCTCTATCACAGCTTACCGACTAAGCCCATCCTGGATTCAGTCAAGGTCACACTGTCACCAGGAAACAGAATTGTTATTCAGTACTAGTAGTCATGCATCATTCTTGAACTGACACCAAGATGGTCCACAGCAAGAAGATTAACCCTAACAGGCCTGACTCCGACTTCCTCCCCAGCAATGAACTCTGCTCATCTGTCATCTGCCTGATGGCTTCACACTCAACGTTAGACGTGAAGCACCGCTCTCTGCTTGCAGCACTCACCGTTCCTACCAGCGGGTACAGAAAACCAGCCCCGACGCTGGCGCGGATGTCTCGAATGGGCAGGACAAAGCCAGTAGGCACACCTTTTTGCTCCGGATTATGAGACAAGGACAGGTGTGTTTTGGCCATGCAGATGGGCAGATTCCCAAAGCCCTGGGGAAAGAAGGGAACAGAAGCGGGACAAATGAAAAGCTGACACTGCAACAAAGGACACCTGGGCACTGTGGTGGTGCAGATTCTTCAATTCATTCGAGACACTGGAACTACCCTTATATCTGTCTCCACCTCACTGCCCTCTAGGGGAGTTCTCATAGATTTTAAAAAAAGGGAGAGAGAATCCGTTGGGTGAAGGAGGTGAGTACTCGCAACCATATTCCAAAAGTGAATTTTTGCCTAGCTAGTATGGCTCAGTGGACTGAGCATCGTCCCATGGACTGAGAGGTCCGGGTTCAATTCTGGTCAGGGCACATGCCCTGGGCTCGATCTCCAATAGGAGGCAGCTGATTGATGTATCTCTCTCATCGATGTTTCTCTCTCCCCCTTTCTAAAAAAGAAAAAAAAAATCAACAAAAACATATTTTAAAAAAGTGATTATTTTATTTTCATCTATATACCCAATTAAAAATGATAGTCTGGAATAGACATGTTGATGTACTCAAGGCCGGCTCTTGATATTTCAGTAAGACATTTCACATTTCATCATGGCTTTTCCACATACCCATATACCACTTGTGGTGATAAAGAATTTGGGACTGGCCCTGGCCGGTTTGGCTCAGCGGTTAGAGCGTCGGCCTGCGGTCCGGAGAGACCCGGGTTCGGTTCCCGCTAAGGGCACGTACCTTGGTTGCAGTTTGTCCCCGGCCCTGGTTGGGTCGTGTGGTTGGCAGCCACTCGATGTGTCGCTTTCACGTCGATGTTTCTCTCTCTCTCTCTCTCCTTCCCACTCTATCTGAACAAAATATCGAAAAATGTCCTCAGGTGAGGATAAAAAAAAAAAAAAAGAATTTGGGACTGGACCACCTAATCCACACTCAGAAGCGCAAAGGCTGCTGCCCAGGGGAACTGAAGCAGTGGGTGTCCGGCAGGGCTGGGCGAACACCAGGATTCTTGACTGCGGGGCCTGCTTTACAGTTGAAAGAACAAAACACTCGAACAGCTACCTGCTTCGTGTAGACTTCTGCCTTGTGCTGAGCTTCAGGGAGCAATTCAATGTCATCCGCCCCATAGATCTTCTGCGCGATGATCCTGATTTTATCCTCAACTGGGAGCTAACAGACAGGAAAGAGGGGCGATCTTGATGGGACATGGCCACATTCCAGGCCAGAGTCCCCAAAAGGGCCAGAGATGTTTTTATACACTATACAGATACACAAATAGTTTGAGGTTTATTGGGTTAGAAACACTTCCTTTTAATATCAAGCCCCAGATTTTATAAGTGGAAAATATTCTACAGGAGTTACGGTATGTATGTGTATGTGCATGTGTGCGTGTGTGTGTATTTAGGGTCTCAATAGGTACATCACAAACACTACTGCTAACTACCCAAGAATAATACTTTCTTCACAAGTAAAAAGTAACGTTCTATGACTGGAGAGCAGTCTCCTGTCAAAGCAGACATGGGATACTGTTTCTGAAACAAGACAACCAATGTCCGTTCACATAATTCCTGGTTTGTCTGTGAGAGGCAGATGCTATCCTTAACACAACATATTGATTGCTAATTGCTGTTACTTAGAAATATATATATATTTAAAAGCAATCTGGAGACTTCTGTGATGAACATACAGTGGGGAGGATGTGGAAGGCTCTGCCCTCCATGGCACCTGCGGCAAACAGCACAGTGGACAGAGGCCAGGGGTCTAACCAGTCAGGGCCTCACCCCTCAGGGCTGCTTCCTCCAGGGACCTGGCTTCTCAAGACGATTCACAGCAAACAGCACAGGGAAACTGCCCGAAGGAACTGGGAAGGAAAGCTACTCACAGGTAACTTGATGAACAAATTACTCAAGTTAGGCGACACATCTGACTCTCTATTCCCTAGCAACTAAGGCTAAGAGAATACATTGGGGAGTTTTGTTTTTTTGAAAGTAATAATAATGTATCTTTAAAAATAAAAATTCCCTTTTAAACTAAACAGTGATAATTTATGAAAAGGCTTTGCATAATGGATAGAAATAAAGTGACTACTCAATTATGGCTTATGAAGATGCAACAGAGATTACTTCCAAATGCACCTTGCAATTGGGCTCTGTAAATGCCAAGGCACATTCAGAACTTCTGAAGCAAAAGTACTCTGCTGAGGGGTGATTTAAGACCAACGGATGCAGAATAAGACAAAAAGTGGCAGCCTCCTGCTTGTCAGAGCACAGTTCCAAGCAGCAGGGGCTTATGAAGAAATCCTCACCCCACTTCGTCAGGTTTCCTGCCTGCCTTCAGGGACTGGGGTTCCTGACAGCAGGCGCGGTGGATGGGGGCTTAGAGAGGGTGCCTATAAATGCTTTGCATCTGTGTGCCAATTTGTGTTGTGGACTTCCCTAAGAAGACCGCTGGTTGAACAGATTCTCAATCTATTTGTAAAACTAAAGCCCCAGAGCAGAACGTCCGCACTGACAGGGCAGTGTTCATGAGCTATCGGTGTGTTATATCTGCAAGGGCCAGAGAGACACAAGAACATGTTTTAATTCAAGAGTAATAGGGCTTCTTTCTTCTACCTTTTTATGGCTATTTTTGAAAATCTATGATTATCTTTTAAAAACCAAGCCAGGAACCTGCCTAGAGAATACAAGCAGAATTAGCTACCACATTCACCCCAAGTTCCTAATGAAGTTTCCAGTGTGGGCACAATACTTAATGTCCAACCACATCCTGAAACACACAGAGAAATGAAAACAAAATACAACCCTATAATATAAACAACCTTTCTCTGAATTGATTCATACGTTATTGTACACAGAATAAGCAATGCTTCTGCTTGGGCCAGACGTCCTAGAGTTTACTCAGCGATGGAAAAATGCTAAAGCCTGCTGGGTGTGTGGTTTTGTACCCGAGGGCTTCTCTGAACTTGAGGCAGCCTTGTACCAGGAAAGCACTTAGGGCCATACTGCTTTTCCCCATTACCGAGAAGCTGTCGGAAAACTTATCCGAGCTTGATATAGCCCCTTGCCAATTTGCCCTAATATGGCTGGTGCGTTGGGTTAAAGCTGTAGTGAAGTACTTATCTCTTGGTTCTATGTGACCCTTTTTCTTGCCAGCAGAGGAACTGTGCTGTGAGCCTTTCTAAGAGTTAGGATGTGAGCCAACCCCCCGGAGTGTTCTTGCCTGGACCCCTACTCTGTAAGTAGGCAGCAACATGTGTTGGTAAGAAAGCCGTCTGGAGTTGAGGGTCCAGGCTGTGGTTGAGTAACTCTACATGGGAATCAGATCCACAGGGTTGAAGCTGTTAAACACGGGCTCTAAACAGAGGCAGCTACACAGAAACCTCATTGTGCTTTTGAGTTTTTGCATACAGCGAGTAACCCACCTTGAGGTCATAAAGGAGCCGGAAGCTGCTGGGTGCCTGAGCTGCTCTCTGGACGGCCTGAGCCAGGGCTACGGCGCCCTTGCCCCCTTCTGCCCAGTGAGTACATTTCACGGCATCAAAAGCCCCATGTTCTCTGGCAAGGCGGCTGACGAGGTCCAGCTCGGTCTCTGCATCTGTCCTGTAAAGGCAGCACTTGGTGTTAAAGCACAGACAATGCCTGCAGAGGACAGAATCTCTCGTTTCTGCCATTAAAACCCATGTGAATTACCTGCTGATAAATGGACACTAATCAAGTAACATTGCTTGGATTTGAATCCCAGCTCTACAATTTAATAGCAAGGTGACTTTCGGCCAGTTAAGCTATATGTGCCTGGCCCTGGCTGGTTTGGCCCAGCAGTTAGAGTGTCGGCCCTGGACCAAAGGGTCTCAGATTTCCGGTCAAGAGTATGTACCTGGGTTGCAGGTTTGATGCCCAGCCCGTCAGGGTCCGGCGGGAGGCAACCAATCGATGTGTCTTTCTCACACTGACGTTTTTCTCCCTCCCTCCCTCCCTCTCTCCCTCGCACTCTATCTAAAAATCATGGAAAAACATCCTCAAGTGGGAATTAACAAACAAAACAAAACAAAAACCTTTAGGTGGTAAATATATGCTAAGTACTCAGACCACTCCAGGCATGTCATAGAATCCATAAATACTCGCTTTTAAAAAAGGTTGCTTCCCATTTTGCTGCGGTTAAGCCATTATAACAAGACTAAAACCAGCATTACAATATTTACACAACCCACGCAAGTTCTCTCTTGCAGGAACACTTCCAGCTCAACACGCTCGACTCTTTGTCAAGACAACATCCCACCAGACCCAGTGAAATAATGAAACTGGCCCTGGGCAGTTTTGCTCAGCGGTTGGAGCATAGGCCTGCGGACCAGAGAGTCCCTGGTTCGGTTCCCGCTAAGGGCACATACCAAAAAAAAAAACAGAAAAGAAATAATGAGCCCTGGCCGGTTTGGCTCAGTGGTTAGAGCGTCAGCCTGCGGTCCACAGAGACCCGGGTTCGGTTCCCGCTAAGGGCATGTACCTTGGCTGCAGTTTGTCCCCGGCCCTGGTTGGGTCGTGTGGGTGGCGGCCACTCGATGTGTCCCTTTCACATAGATGTTTCTCTCTTTTCCTCTCTCTCCTTCCCACTCTATCTGAGTAAAAAATGGAAAAAATGTCCTCGTGTGAGGATAAAAAAAAAAAGAAAAGAAATAATGAAACTGTAGGGCTATGACCTCTTGTTAGCTCAAAAGGCCTCTAGAGACCAAAAAGAACATTTAACTTCAGGCCTATGTGTCAAACGCGAGAGGAAGGGGACCCACAGAAGCCAGATCTGACCCTGGACCCTCAGCGGGTGAGGTGGTGAGTTCACTGTAATGGCCCCCAAAGCACAGGCTTAACATCCAATAGGAGTAACTGAACCAAAAGAAAGCTACAAGCCCCAAGATGTTTTTGACCGTTTCCACAGTCCCTTGGACTCTGACACTTTGTACTTACTTAAATGCATTCACAGCCACTACCACTGGAACTCCAAACATTCTGGCATTTTCAATTTGTTTCCTCAAGTTACTAAAGCCTTTTTCAACCAGCTCCAGGTTCTGTAAAAACAGTGAAAGTGGTGGTCTTTCCACGAGGTCAGAGAGAGCACCGCTGAAGACAGTGCCAGGTTCTCCTTAACAGGGACCAGTCTCCTCAAGCCAGAGCCACGCACTGTGAGGACAGGCTGAGCGAGCAGATTAGCTTTCCCATCCCCCACCAGAGCGTGCACTGCGGGGCCGTCACTGTGCGGCCTTCACGTGTATGAGCTGGAGTGGCGCTGTGCTTATCTGGCTGTCCTGGAAACAGGGAACATTTCCTGTCATCACACTGTATCTTAACAGCATATTTGCTGTTTGAAGAGAAGCACAAGCCCTTAAATATAATCCCTGTGTTCATAAAGTTTAGGTACTCTTTTGACATAATGTTACAAACTGACACTACTAAGCATTGCACAGACTCTTCCATCAGCAGACAGAGCCTCGCACAGTGCCTGACATTCATTCTACGGCTGCTGGAAGTACTGCAGGACACATGGAGCCATTAGTGGTGCTTTCAAAGGTTTTAATGAACCCAACCATGAACCTTTATTGGGGATGACAGAAAACAAGATAACATCATCAGTAAGAACCAAATGCATGCTATTTAAAGGAATGAGATTAAGGAAATATACGTTTAAATATGTTTACTGCAGCACTGAAAAACTGCAAATAGCACAAACCTCCTTCAATGGGGGGGGGGTTTATGATATACACACTCAATAAATATGTATCATGGAGATGTAATGAAAAATGAGATAATCCAACTTCTGGTCAAGATGGCAGCATAGGTAAATGCGGTATCACTTCCTCCCACAACCACATCAAAATTAGAACTAAACTACAGAACAACCATCCTTCAGAACTGCCTGAAATCAAGCTGAACGGAAGTCCTACAACTGCGGAATTAAAGAAGAAGCCACATCGAGACTGGTAGGAGGGCGGAGGCGGATGGGCTGGTCCCACATCCACGTGTGGCGGATAAAAATCAGGAGGACACCTCGGCTGGGAAGGTCCTCCCTGAGGAGTGAGGAGTCCCCGTCCCACACGAGGTACCCCAGCTCAGGGTTCCAGTGCCAGGAAAAGAAGCCCCCATAACTTCTGGCTGTACAAACTAGCGGGGATTGAGGCTGAAGGAGGCTGAGGCTGCTGGAGCCCCAGGCAGTTCCTCCTAAAGGACCCAGGACTTACTTGGACTCGCTCCATCATGGGAGAAGCATAAGGGAAGAACTGAGTTGCTTGGCACTGGGGCAAGAGCTGGAGAGGCAGCTTTCTCCCAGACAGATGTGCTGCAAGAGGTCATTGTTCCTTTGGTGAACACTCCCCCCACAGGGCAGCCATATCTGGGGCTCCAGCAACTGTGAGCCCTGCCCTGGTCATTCCCTGAGGCCCTGCCCCACGCAACTTTCAGGCCCACCGAAGGTGTTTCCAGTGTTTTTACCATAGGATTGGCCTGTCTTGGCTCCTGCTTCAAATTTTCCTAAAATCTCACAAACAAAGAGCATCTGGCTTCACCAAGCCCCAAACCTCTCACTAGAAGCAGCCAGCCTTGGTTCACAACTTGGCTTTGTGTGGGCACCTCAAAGCCCAGCACAAGAAACAGCCTTTGTAGCTTATGCCTGGTGGCCCTGGGTAGAGCACAGGCAGCGGCTGAGCCAGCACACCCAGTGGACAGCTTCACACCACACTGAAGCACCACCACCCAACCACCTCCACAAGCGACACTCAGGAGTGGACTCAGTGGGTACCAGAGCCCTGCTGAAGTAAGTCTTGCTCTGTGTGGTGGGCCCTGCACAGCTGATCCTCCAAGGTAGTCAGAGGCCAGTGGTCAGCGGGTACAGCCAGTCCTTGTAGCTGATCGGCCTGAGTAAATCCCTCCCATTGATGTGGCAATTGCAATCAAGACTCAATTACAACAGAAGGGTGTACAGTCCACAAGATGGGTGTACCTCAAAGGCACAGATGGGATGATGAGGGAGGCTGTGCCTCTGGACCCTACAGGACACCTACAACAATAGGCTACCCTATGAAGCTTAGGAGACATAGCAACTCTACCTAATACATAGAAACAAACACGAGGAAGCAGCCAAAATGAGGAGACAAAGAAAACAGGTCCCAAATGAAAGAAAAGAACAAAACTCCAGGAAAAGAACTAAACGAAACAGAGATAAGCAATCTAACAGATGCTGAGTTCAAAACACTGGTTATAAGGATGCTCAATGAACTTAGTGAGGGCCTCAAGAACATAAAAAAGGGCCAGAATAGGATACAGTCAGAAATGAAGGAGGCACTAACTGAAATAAAGAATAATTTACGACCCAGCCGGCGTGGCTCAGTGGCTGAGCACTGATCCACTGACCAAGAGGTTGCTGGTTTGATCCCTGGTCAGGGCACATGCCTGGGTTGTAGGTTCAATCTCCAGTAGGGGGCGGGCAGGAGGCAGCGGACCAATGCATCTCTCTCATCAATGTTTCTACCTCTTTCTCCCTCTCCCTTCCTTCCTCTCTAAAATCAATAAAGAAAAAATATTAAATAAAAAGAAAAAAGAAAAATATAATAGTCATATATAAAACTATATACACTGGATCATGAGCAAAACCCAGCAGTAATAGCTCTTGGTCTGAGGATTCCATGAAATAGCAAGAAAAAATAGGTAAGTTAAAAGAAGAAAACATCTGCCTTGGCCGGTTTTGCTCAGTGGTTAGAGTGTCGGCCTGCGGACCAGAGTCCTGGGTTTGGTTCCCACTAAGGGCACGTACCTTGGCTGCAGTGTGTTCCTGGCCCTGGTTGGCGATGTGTGGGTGGCAACCACTAGATGTATCTCTCTCACATCCATGCTTCTCGCTCTCTCTTCTTTCTCTCCCTCCTGCTCTATCTGAAGATAAATGCAAAAAATGTCTTTGGGTGAGAAAAACAAAAAGCAGAAAACATCTGAGATTCTTATAAACACAATTTATGTTTTTCCTTTGATAAATGAAAACCAAGATTAGAATTTAGTTGATATTCTAAAAATTTTTTTTCCTTATTGATTTCAGAGAGAGAGAAAGGGAGAGGGAGATAGAAACATGGATGAGAGAGAACATCGATTGGCCGCCTCCTGCATGCCCCCACTGGGGATTGGGCCCACAACCTGGGCATGTGCCCTGACTGGGAATCGAACCGGCGACCTCTTGGTGCATGGGTCAACACTCAATCACTGAGCCACACCAGCCGGGCTAGTTGATATTCTAAAAAGCACTGCTAATTCTTTACCTCTAGTCACATGAAAACCAATTAATATGTAAGACTGACTGAGAACAGTTTTAAATAAGCAGAATTTCTTAAAGACACCAGCTGGGCCAGTTAGGGGCAGTCATTCTAATTAGACACAGGAAAGGCGGTGGGGTGGCAGTGGGGCCAGAACTGAATTCCCTTCCTACGCGTGAATCAGACAAATGACCATAAAAGGCAAATCATAACTCAGAAGACAGGCAGACTCAAGGCACCAACAATTCTTTTCTAGCTGCTTTTGAAATGCTTCATTTGGGACCTAAACAGTGACCCTGTATTGCTTGACAATTTAAGTTTCAAAAAAAAGGCAGAAAAATGGAATTAGTGATAGCAGCTGACCTTACCATCTCTCTCAAGGACCTCTCTCATAACTACCCCAAACTGGCTCTAGAGATGTTTCTTCGATAGTAAATGATAAATATGAAAACGTTCAAGCTCACAATTCTTTGAACTCCTGCTTGATGCTATCAACCAAATCAGCTTATGGAAATTTTGCCTAGAAAAATAACCAGGATGCCGACTATATCTTGGTCCTTTAATCTGGATTTAAATCTGCAGAAGACATTTCAAAAAAGGCGCTTCTGTATCTGCTTCTGATCTGGATGGCATTTGGGAATCAACCAGCCAATACAGGGAAGATAAGGAGACTTCCATCAGTCTAGTGCAGGTTTCTTAGCCTCAGCACTTCTAACATTTTGGGCTAAATCATTCCTTGTAGTGGGGGGTGTCCTGTGCACTGTAGGATGTTTAGCAGCAGCCCTGGCCTCTACCCACTGAGTTCCAGTAGCGCTCCTCATGAATTATACAATCATAAATGTCTCTCAACATTGTCAAATGTCCCTTGGGGGCAAAATTGCTCACAGTTGAGAAACAACCACTGATCCAGGGCAGAAGTTTCACTGGTTTCCTATGTGGGGCAATTCTGTTTTATAAGGCACTTTTCCCGTTTCATTTATTCCAAGCCCATTAGCGTCCCCTGCGCCCAGGAGCAACCCTGGGTCAGAGTGACACCCCCACTTGTCTCCAAACGAGCCACTGATTCAGGGTGTGGTGCTTTCTAGGTCAAGTCATTAGAAATGACTGAAGTTACCTCCTCTATGTAAGCCTTGGGAAGAGGCAGTCCAGCAGTAACCTGGAAGAAAAGGAAGCAAAGTCAGAGGCATTTTCTATTTACAATTAGGTATCAGCCACATGTTAAAGGCCAGAAGCTACATGCTTGGGGGACACGGCAGTGCAAGATGGTTTCCTACCCTGAGGATTTAGGGTGTATGACCAATCCTACAGCACAGAAAAATGACTGCTTTGAGAAAAACGGGGACCTTTGTGGCCTAAACGATGGTGGTGAGAAAGGAGGGATCTATGGAGGGGAGGAAGGGGTGTGTTTCCGGAGGGCAGTAACCTCTGGGTGATGCACACCTTGCAAACAGGCGGCTGTCTGCCCTGCAAAGGCCACCTTGACAAGCCCTGTGATGGGATCATGAGCTGGTCCACAGAAGCAACACAACAGGAGGGAAACAACACACAGGGTTCTCACAGCGTATTTCAAGGTCTCAGAATATGTCAGCAGTAAGTTCACTGTTAGGTCCCTGGTGGCTTCGCCCTGCTGCACTCAGTGATGAAATGGGGGTGGTGCTATTCCAGGAGCCCCATGTGGACAATGGACAGTGATTAAGAAGCCTTCGGTTTCTCAGCTTGGTCTGCTTCCGTTCCTCAGAGACCACAGTGCTCCAGCTCCAAAGAGGGCACAGAGCTGGGGCTGGAAGCAGGGCTGGGAGCCGCCCCACGCTGGGCCTTCCACGTAGCTCCGTGAGGTGGTCATGTGAGGTCGGCGCCTTGGCAGAGAAGTGCATGTAAAATCCTCCTCTCAGTGCTGCCCAGGTGAGGTGCCCAGCATTATTTTTTAGGCCATGAGATCGTGAGAAAAGAAAAGGAGGTGCAAAGTTGTGAGGGGTGCGGTAGAGAGAAAAGCTGGTTATGACTGGGAAGGACAAGGGAGTCCACCCTGCACTGCTAGCAGAAAAGGGCGCCCTGGGTCAGGGGTGCTCTGCATTCGGGAAACAGCCCGACTGGAGGGGCAGGGCTGTGTTATGGCAGTGGTTCTCACAGCGAGGCCCGAGACCCAGTCCCTTCACGGGATCCATGAGGTCAAGACTGTTTCCATAGTAATTCTAAGATGTTAGAACACTTTTCACTCTTACTCTCTCACTGAGTATTCAATGGACTTTTCCAAAGATCATGTGACATGGGGTATCACAAAAAGATCAAATGCAACGAGAACCCAGTAGTCTTTAATTAAGTCAGATACTGAAGGGTTCTGAAAAATGTACAATGCCTAAACTTTGTTTTGAAAAATACAGTAACATTTTATTTTTAAAAATGTTATTTATGTTAATATGCAACTCAGTTTTTATAGTTAATATAATAAATATCAATAGCTATAACCTACCTAAAATAAGTCCTTTCAGGCCCTCATTAATTTTTTAGGGTATAAAGAAGTTTTGAGACCAAAACACTTGAGAACAGCTATACTGGTCATATTAAGAAACACTGATTTTGTTCTATAGGTGAGTGAGGTCTTATTTCCTAAGTTATAGGACCACCTCCTAGAGGACAGGAATTGAATATTTCTTCAAGTAATTTCTGAATACTAGCCCCAGGTCTTCACATGCTGGCACTGAAGAAAGGTGTTAAAATAATGGGATAAAAAGTGACATTTATAACTAATAGGGATTCAGGAGAACACAAAGTTCAGGTAGGAGATGAAAATAACCAGTCCTAACCTCTGTTTCTCTCTGTTCCTCAGAGGCAGTCCCGAGCATCTCTCCCCTTCTCCCCCCCTCCCTCCTACTCCGGGAGGCTAGCGGTCCATCCAGTTTGCACCTCTCCAGAAGGGCTGACCTGTCTCAGTTAAATGGTTTGGCTGGCTGGTTGCCAGTGTCAGTATTCAGAGGGAAATGGAACTGAGATTTTAAAAGAACAGCCTGAACATAAAGGAGTTTTTTTGAGAAACTGCAAGAACACGTCCTTGGAGGCGTTTAGATATCATCAGATGTTTTCATCAGAAAGGCAGGCCATGAAGCCAATTCCCGCCTCTTACAACGTGAGAGCTGGTGGTCCTGCGAGTGGTAAGGGGCCAGCACCAGAGCTGCCGAGCATCCCTTGCTTCTGGCACCCCCGTAATCATGAGGATAAGAGGGTTTAATGAAGGAACAGGCACAAGTCATCCAGCTTCCCTTTAGCCCTCAGAACACTCCTGCCAATCAAACTCTTCCCACTCCGCATCCTCACCATGGGGCCGCCTCCGTGCATTTTAAGAGCCCTCACAGTGGCAACAAGCACCACCACGTGAGGGCGGAGATTGGAATACCGGCATTTGATGTTAAAAAACTTTTCCATTCCAATATCTGCACCGAATCCTGCTTCAGTCACTGTAAGTGAGGAGAAAAGCAACTGTAAAAATGCTATGCCAGCTCCATTGATGTTAAAAAAAAAAAAAAAAATCTATTCACTGACTGCAAAAATACTCACCTACAAATCCGTCGGGGCCAACGAGCTTGAGGGCAATGCGGTCTGCAATGATGGAGGAATTCCCATGCGCGATGTTGGCAAACGGCCCGGCGTGAACAAACACTGGAGTGCCCTGTGGAAATCAAGACAGCGAACCTGCCAATCCTGCTTCAAGATGGGACCACACAGTCAAGATGAAAGTTAGCTGGAATCCAAAACAAAACGACACCTCAAAGGGTTAACTATGAAGCAGCCTCTGCTATGACAGTAATGTCCCAATTGCAACTGAGAGAAAGAATGGGAAGAAAGAGATGAGCAAGAAGAAAGAGATGGGCAGGTAGCCCCAAGAAAAGTGTGAACACAGAAAATGATTCAGAAAGGCAGGAGTCACTCTGCTCACCTCTAGTGTCTGCATGAGATTGGGCTTGATGGCATCCTTCATGAGCACGGCCAGCGCACCGCTCACCCCCTACGGACAAAGGCATGAGTGTCAACTCCTCCAGCAAAAAAACCCAACCTTTTGAAACCATAACTCAACATGCTTAGGTCTTCCTTTTTTAGCCATCTTGGACCAATCAGTACTTCCACCTGAATGAGACCATTCATGTATTCATTCATTTATTTTTTCTGGATAGACTCTGAAGTTACCAGTTATTTTAAGCAGAAAGAACATCTAAAATAAAAATGACAATCACATGAAAGTTCTGGAAAAAACACGTAACTCTGGAAACAAGCATCTCAATGAAGCTTTGCTGCTGGTGGGTGAGGGGATCCATTTTAGACGAGTTTACAGCACGAAATGATAGTTCTTTGAGTACTGAATTATTTGTAACTTGGGTGTCTGGGCAGAAATGGCCACAAACCAAATTCAGTATGTGTTCCCCAAAACAGAAACTAAAAATTTACCCAGGAGCTCAATACCAACTCTTAAATGCCAGGTCCTTCTTCTAAGCCCTCCAATCATAGCTAAACAACCACAGATTCTGTTTGTATTAAATTTTAATGAGTTTCTAAGTTTCTGCTTTGGGTGTAAAAAGTTAAAACAATTTCCTTTTTTACATGGATTAACTGTGAAAACAGAATATATATGTTTCCCCCCTTTTCTGAATCCATCTGACATGCTTGTTTAATCATAGGCCAACCACTTTGGTGTGCATCAACACAAACAGACCTTTAAAAACTAATTTAGCCTTGGCCGGTTTGCTTAGTGGTTAGAGCGTCAGCCTGCAGACTGAATGGTGGGTTTGATTCTGGTCAAGGGCATGTGCCTCAGTTGCAGTTCGGTCCTGGCTCTGGTCAGGGTTGTGCGGGAGGCAACCAGTCAATGTGTCTCTCTCACATTGATGCTTCTCTTTCTCTCTCTCTTCCTCCTTCACACTCTACCTGAAAAAGCAATGGAAAAATATCCTCAGGTGAAGATTAAAAAAAACAAAATTAATCTAGCACTGGCTGGTGTGGCTCAGTTGGTTGGAGCATTGTCCTGTGTACCGAAGGGTGGCAGGTTCAATTCCCAGCTAGGGCATATGCCTGGGTTGTGGGTTTGGTCCCTGGGTGGCACAAATTCAAGAGTCAACCAATCAATGTTTCTCTCTCACACGGGTGTCTCTTTCTCTCTCTCTCCCTTCCTCTCTAAAATCAATTAAAAAAATTAATCTATAAGATCATCTTATTTCAAACCTCATATTATCATGCAGACAGTTCAGAAATAAACCTGAAGTAGAGAGCTAGCCTAGTAGGACTATCAGGTAACTGGATAATGCGTTATTCCCACTGTGGTCATCAGTGTGGCAGCCAACAAACCTCATGACAAGAGGCCTCTGTGCAGGCAGGCCTGTCATGGGGAGAAGCCCGGGTGACTCCAAGCTCAGCTACTAAGGGCCTCAGTGTGACTCTTGATGTCTTCTGCAAACTGAAGTCATATACCCACTTTTGGGAATACTCATAGGTTGAAGATGTTGCTCAAATCTGAAGCTTGTGGTCTATTACTGGAGCATACTACCTATTACTATGAAGTACACTTTACAAATTTTGTAATTACCTTCTCAGCAACAAAATCATATTACATTTATTAGTTAATTGCAGCATAATTGTTGTTACTGGCAACTGCTGAGACCCTGGGACAATGGACAGCTGCACTGCAGGCCCAAACGCCGGGGTACCCACCAGATCTTCAGTGCTGATGGGCTCCCCTTTCTTGCTGGAGGCCACCACCATTTTGCTCAGTCTCTCTCGCATGTCTTCCAGGGAACTGGTGAGAGCCAGGACAGCCATGATTTCACTGGCCACAGAGATATCAAACTGGGTCTATTGGAAGGAACAAAGCACAATAGAGAAGACTTCATTAAAGCAGAAGAGTGAATTGATTGCAACTCGTTTGCACCCACAGCTTAAATGGATAGAATAACAATAGTACACAAATAACTTCATAAAAATAATTCTCCAACAGCAAAAATTTGTAATGAACTATCCAAGACCTTGAGTAGTCAAATCTCTAAAATAAATATTCTAGCAGGACCAACAATTCTGTGAAAGCAGCTTGTAATCATGTATGTATGTTATGGAAAACATACAACACAGAAGCTCTTACAATGAAGAGACATACTGCAAAAGGGCCACAGAAAAGAAGCAATTCTAATCAATTTGTGTGCAAGGATAGTCACTTGGGGCTCTCCACCTCCAGGAAAAAATGTGGGGTGGGGGGGGACACACAGGTGACACATGGGATTTACTGCAAGAGCTGTCAGGAGTGCTCAATACCACACACCCACTCACTTCCATTTTAAAAAGGAGAAGGCAGAACACCTGGGGAAGAGAGCAGATGGAGGAGGACAGAAGGAGCAAGGATCTGGTTCATCTGAACTAATTTACTTAGAAAAGGAACAAATAGTTACCGTCCGTGTGTACCCTTTCTCTGTTGGAGCCTGTCCAATTGTGATCTTCCTCAGGAATCTGTCATTGGTATCCAACACTACAGTAGAAAGAGAAAATACAGAGCAATGTTAGTAAAAGGACTGTAAAGTTAAAGGAACCAGCCAAGTTTTAGAGCAATAAGTGTAATTTAATGTCTGTCTATTAATGTCTGATTTCAAAACTGATGGCAAAGCTAGAATATGGGTTCAAATTAAGAAATGGTGTTCATATATAGTCAATGTACCAGGATTATTTTTAGAGAAAGAAATGTGGACTGGCTTGGTTTTATTCTGTCTAGAGAATTCAAACAACTAGAAATCTGGAACCTATTTTAAAGCCACAGTTTTTCAAAAGGCAGAGGTTTGTGTTGTTGTTCTGATGACTCACTGACCTTACACCATCTTGCAAAACACAAAAGCCATATATGCGGGGCCAGGCAAGGGCCTTTGAAATATGCTGGGTAGCAGACCTGCTCTCTCCTTCAGCACACTGAGAAAAACAATTCCCATGCAGATGCCAGACCAACTATCCAATTGTATACCTTGGAAAGCATGGCAAAGATCAACCAGCTAACCTTCCCTCTACCTCCCAGGAGTAATTACTGTTAACATTTTGGTGTATTTCAAATTTTGTTTTTTGTATGACGTGCCAAACGGTAACAAAATACAGAACGAAGACTTGATTTGGGGTAGTGAACACATAACAGACTGCACAGATGATGTGTTCTGGATTTCTGTGCCTAAAACTGGTATAATCTTGTTAACCAGTGTCACCCCAATACACTTAATAAAAAGGCAACAAAAAAAAAAAGAGAGAACAACAATACACTAATTATACTCTAAATGGGTCAAAGAGGAGAGACATTTTTAAGGCACTTGATAACATGCCCAATTCTTTTCCATAAAGACTAACAAACACCCCAAAACAGTGTCTTGTACAACACTCAGAGGAAGACACACTCAAACACACCCACTTGATCAGTGAAGGATGTAATGTGTTGTTGAAGTCGACCCTTATTTTTAAAAAATAGAGTGTCAAGTTCCTTGTATCTAATTTCTTGTATAAAATACCCAGTCAACAGGTATGATCTCTTCTCTCCCCTGGTCTGCTTTTGCTTTCTTAGAAAACATAAACTAGACATTAAATTGGATCTTTAGCTTATTCCTCATAAAATATTATACCATCTGTCTAAAGCTGCTGAAGCAAAGGAAGAGAAATATCAGTATGGTTTTATGTACTGAGAGAATCACCCCAAAAATGCCATTAGCTAGCAATGGTTACCAAGCCAATGAAAATCACAGATACAGTCAATAAATTGGCTGTTAGTTGCATTCTGCACGGCTGGATGAAAATTCCTCCTCAGCAGTGATACAGGGTAGGTGGGTAGGTGGGTGCGCCGTGGGTAGGTGGGTGCACCGTTGGTACAAAATAAGACTCTAAGCTGGGCTACTTGTATATTGAGAAAAGCAACATATGACGGTAAAGCCAGGCAACTCACTCACTAAAGTGTTTAAACCTTGAAGTTTACCTACTTTGTTACAAGAGAGTTTAATACAATGAGGTTAAACTGAGAAGGCAAGCTAGAGAGCTACAAGAAAAATCAAGTCACTTATGCTAGACAAGAGTTCTAGGAATAAAGGGCAACATGATTCAAGAAGTGATTAAACAAAATTTCTCTACTTCATGACACTAAAACTTTTTGCATAAAATAAAACTTGCAAAATGTTATCTTTGGTTTCTGATGAACTTCTTTGAAACACCCTCAGTCCAGTCAACACTGACTAGCCAGCAAATGACCAACTAACCCAATAAAAGGAGATTTGATTACAGCTAATAAGAAGGGAGATTGATGGAGGTGGCCAGAAAAACAAGACATCACCCATCTTGGTAAAAATACCAATACCAAGTTTCCAGACCTCACATTTTAACCACTCTCACAGGGGGCGCGGTGTGTGCAGTATAACCAAGGCAAATGGGGTGGGTATATGGCTCTGGTACCTCTTTGCCAAGTAATGGTTTCTGGATCAATATCCAATCTTGCAAATCTGCTTATCTCTTCATCTGTCAGTGTGGTAGGGTCGGTCTTATCAATGCCTAGTCTCTGAAGAGGTAGTAAAATTAAAACACAAAATAAGACAAAACAAACAAAAGCATAATAAATTTTAAAAAATGTTGAATCCCTATCTCTAGATAGGGTCCCCTCTTGGAAATAGAAACCATTTTAAATCTAGAAGGAAAAACTATGATCCCTTTTGCTAAACCTTTCTTTCCTACTCACACGTGTACGAAGAAGGTATTATAAACATGTTTGTCCCTATAACTGAGCACCAGAGGCATTTCTCTAAACAAGAATAGTGACCAAGAAGTGTTGTAGCAAATTCATCAAATCCAAACATATGGAAAGGAAAAACAAGGTGAAAAGCTTTTTCTTTTTATTTTCCCAACTGATTTTTAGAGAGAGTGAAAGGAAGGGAGGGAGTGGGGTAGAGGGAGAGGTACAGAGAAAGAGAAAGAGAAACATTGATGTGAGAGAGAGACACTTCGATTGGTTGCCTCCCATGTGTGCCCCAGCTGGGGCCAGGGATTGAACCTGCAACCCAGGCACATGCCAGGGACCAAGAATCAAACTCATGACCCTGATGCACAGGTAGACCTCTAACCACTGAGCACACTGGCCAGGGCAGTGCAAAGCTTTTGCAATCAGACAATTGAGAATCCCAATTCAAATGAAATATTAGGAAGGACAAAAAATAAGTGTAAATCAATAAAATTAAGTATGTAACACTACTTTCACAAAAAGGGTTTGTCTCTTCCTCCTCACAGAACTTGGCAATTTTATTTATTTACAATGTGTACATGGCTCACATCCTGAAATGGAAAATGCTTATGAAATGTATTTTCCTTTCCTTCTAACTCATGGTAGATCTAAGTGGGCCCAGCAAGCCCTATTCCTTCCATATTTCTGTTCCTGCGCTATGAGGACTTTGTTTTAAAACCTCAGATATGGCCCTGGCCGGTTTGGCTCAGCGGTTGGAGCGTCAGCCTGCGGTACAGAGAGACCCGGGTTCGGTTCCCGCTAAGGGCACGTACCTCGGTTGCAGTTTGTCCCCAGCCCTGGTTGGGTTGTGCGGGTGGCAGCCACTCGATGTGTCCCTTCACATTGATGTTTCTCTCTCTTTCTCTTCCTCTCTCTCCCTCCCACTCTATCTGAACAAAAAATGGAAAAATGTCCTCAGGTGAGGATTAAAAAAATAAATAAAAAAAAAATAAAATAAAATAAAACCTCAGATATGTTTTCGGAGCTGGAGCTCACTGGCTTGTCAAATGGCCTCACAAGCCCAGTGTACGACACCGTTTACAGAAGTGCCTAGGCTGAGACTCTGCTGTTGATGACCTACTCTGTGCAACAGAGGATGCTGGGGGACCTGGGAAACAGGAGACCGAGGACCTAGGTGCAACCTGGGGAGGGGTACTGTGGCCTTAGAAAAATTCCTTGATTTCAAATCCTAGAGCTTTTTTTAAAAAATCCCCACCTGAGGATATGTTTATTGATTCTTAGAGAGAGAGGAAATGAGGGAGGGAAAAGGGAGACAGAGACAGACAGACAGACAGACAGACACATTGATGTGAGGGAGAAATATCAATCAGTTGCCTCCTGCCCCTACCGGGGATTCAACCCCAACCTTTTGGTGCATAGGATGACGCTCCAACAAACTGAGCCACCTGGCCAGGTCAAATCTTAGAGCTTTTTAAAAGATCATTTGAATATTTAGTCCAGCCTGGCTGGTGTAGCTCAGTTGGTTGAGTGTTGTCCCATTCACCGAGAGGTCACCAGTTCGATTCCCAGTCAGGGCACATGCCCAGGTCGCAGGCTCGATCTCCAGTGGGGGGTGTGCAGGAGGCAGCCTATCAATGTTTCTCTCTCTCCCCCTCTCCCCTCCTCTGTCTCTCAAACCAACGAAAGAAACATACTACAAAAATAAATAAATATTTAGTTCAGGGTCTCCCCATATCTGACAGAAAGTTTCACCAACAGAGGCAAGATTAGAAGTTGTTGGCTCTTTCTGTGGTACTTTGCTACCTCACAGAACACAACTCTTTTATAAATAGTGTAACAGCTGCCTTATCTGAAGCATAGACTTGGCGGGGCGTAGGTAAAAATAAAATAAGCTATGGAATATCACAGTGTGTAAGTCACTTTTTCTCAAGTCTAGAAAAAACCTGCATATACATAAATAGTGAAAGAATTGTAAAAGAAGTAGAGCAAAATGTAAACAATTAATGCATCTGGATATAGGGGAGCTCCAGGTATTATTCTTATAGCATCAATATCAAGTTGTGAAAATTAAAAATAAAGTGGGAATATAACTGTGGTTGATAACACACACACAAGGAATGTAAGAGTTCATTCCCTTTTATTGTATAGATGTGCCAGCTTGTTTATTTATTCATGCACTGAAGGACCTTTGGACTGTTCCTCGATTTTGGAGATTATTAATAGAGCTGCTAAAAACATTTATGTTTTTGTATGAACACAGGTTTGCATTCCTCTTGGATAAACACTTAGCAGTGAGATTTCTGGCTATGTTGTTGGTATAGTGTATATTTAATGACTAATATTTTTTATAGAAATTCAAGTTAAATATAGAAGTAACCATTCTTGCTTAAGGCCCCAGTGCTGGGAAGAGCAGACATTCAAACTTCAAAGCCCACTATGCTCATGCTGGCATCCTGACTCGCATCCATGCTACAAAGGAAGGGCCAGTCTTCGTAGCTGAGGCCAGGCTGCCAGTGATTTATTTATTTCAGGATAACCAATTACAATTTATAGACAAATAAGAAATAACCTCTACCACCAATCTTTGTTATGGAGATCATGACCTTAAGACTATAGGATGTGCCCTGATCAATTTGGCTCATCATTTAGAGCATTGGCATGTGGACCGGAGAGTCCCAGGTTCGGTTCCCGCTAAGGGCATGTACCTTGGTTGCACTTTGTCCCCGGCCCCAGTTGGGGTCGTGTGGGTGGCCACCACTCAATGTGTCTCTCTCACATTGATGTTTCTCTCTCTCTCTCTTCCTCCCTGTCTTCCTCCCGCTCTATCTGATGATAAACGCAAAAATGTCCTTGAGTGAATATAAAAAAAAAAGACTATAGGATGTAACTTTATCCAAAATAGGCTACTCTAAAGAGATTTTTACCTCTTATCAATTACTTAATTTCATACAATATCAAAAATGAAGAGGGAAAAGCTTACCTGTAACCTTCGGATTTGGATATCAGAGAACTTTCTCACTCCATTTATTGATGGTACCAAACGATTAAAGAGAGCCTAAAAGAAAAGGAGGAAAAGGGCTTTTAAATGAAAGGCACCCCATTGCCTTGCTCCCTGCATCATCAGCACCCAAGGGACCAACATTAATTGAGGTGCTTGAACTCTTTCAAAAGTGCCCATGGGGCCTCAGCATCATACCTTGTCAGTCTGGGTCAGCTCATGGAACATCCGGGCATCAATGGCTGCGGCAACGAGGTTGTTAGCTGCAGTGATGGCGTGGATGTCACCAGTGAGGTGCAGATTAAACTACAAAAGAGCAGAAGCCACACCAGTCTGCTAACTTTCCAACACTCATTCTATTGCAACCAAATCAATTCCTCTGTTAAAGCCAATGGACAACTGATGACAGCACAGCTAGTGGACAACCCCTGAAAACATAAATTACTGTCTTCAGAAACCACTGTTTTCCCAAAGTGACATGTCCAGTAACCACAAACACCACACCACCGGGATCAACAGCAACACTGGATTACGGAGGACACGCTAATGTCCTTTAAACAGTGAGCAAGGAATACAATGGAGCAATCCTCCTATTCATTGTTCCCATTTCTGCAGTTATTACTCTGAATTTACTCCATTTTGGTTCTTCCCAATCTCATGTTCCATTTGATCACTTGCTTAAAATTATTAATTCCCCCTGAAAGCCAGACTTTGAAGTCCTTGTCATGTCAAAACACTAAGCTGCCTTACAACTTTGCAAATTAAGATGTTTTTCCCTTAAGTGTCACTTCTGCTGAGAAACAAGTCATTTATCCACTAAGACCTCTACAATAAAGCTAATTTCTGGAAGGAAAAACTATAATAAAGGATCTGATTCAACCAAATCCCAGAACACTTTACCTCTTCCATGGGAATGACCTGAGAGTAGCCACCACCTGCAGCGCCACCTGGAGGACAGGTCAAGGGTGAGGCTCAAGTTAAGCATGTTTCTCCACAAAGAGGAAATCAAATGGGTTTTTCGTAACTGCTATACATATTATTTATTTACTTTTTACAACCATTTGGATAGATTTGATCAGTGTTTTTAATTTTTTTCTACCAAGCTAAAACACTTGATCTTTCTGTGCTGAAGCCTCTCAACCAAAATCTGAGTCTAACTAAAAACCATGAACATATACATAGCTACCTACTCATTATCTGTGGAAACAGGTTCCCGTGATTCCTAACATCTGTTAAAAGACCCAGCCTACAGTTACATAAATGCAAACCTGTTCAATTTTCCACTCTCATAAACACGACCCTGGCCTTTTAAAAAAGGGAATATTTAAAATTCACACACCAAATACAAATACAGAGACTGCAATTCTTCCTAAGTAGGAGACATATATTAGAAAACTGCTAGATTTTTATTGGCATATTTGGATTATGAACCAAAGGCCAGTCAAAAAAATACCCAGGTTTCAATTTATCAGTGAGATAAATGTCAATTTGAGATGTGGATTTTTTTTTTTTTTTTGGTGAGGCAGAGACCATGCAATGAAAATGTGTTGATTTGTGATATAAGGAAAAGGAGAATATTGGGTTCGATAAGCAGAACAAGAAAAAGGGCTCATTCTGATGTTGAAAGGGAGTTAAGCTCAAAAGCAGAACTAAGTCAGCACATTCATGAAACAGATCAAAACAATAGGCAGAAGAGCAAAGATGCACCGCGAGTTAACATTTGTAGTAATCTTAGAACAAGCAGAATATGTGATACCCTATCACCAAGCAAATGAGAAAGCTACCTCTTAGAATCTATTATAATCAATAAAAATTTTAATTAAAAGAACATATTTGCAGTACTGCAGCTATCAAACACTAAAGGTCAAGTACGATTACTGATGTGTTTTTATGCAATCAGATGAACCACTGCTGATGGTATTGTTTTAGAGCTTGAAACAGACATGGAGGCCCACTGTGGTACTTAAGAATAGTGCCTTTGACCTAGTTGCCTCTGAAGCCCCTGCCGCTGCTATTGCAAAATGGAGATAATCTTATATTACAAAATAAAATAATATGCATAAAGTGCTTAGCACAAAACCTGGCATAAAGCACATAATCAACATGGATGGGCTCTTCTTATCCCCACAGAATGAAACATCTATAGGGTTTGTCTATGTCTCTAGGTCAGCATGGTAACTGGTAGCTCTGCTTACCTTTATTGTTACTGTGACAGTTGACTATTATAGTCATATAAAAGTATCTCTGCTTACGTAGTACTGATCCCAGGAATCCCTGTGCAGTGTCAAATAGTGACAGCAGGAGCTGGGGTGATCCGATGGAAGCCTTTACCAAAAGCACCATGACAGGAAGGTGTGAGGAAGGCATTCCTAAGTGTCTAAATAAGCTGAAGACCTCCCTAAGTAGTCACGGGTCAAGAGGAACAAGGAAGACTGAGGGAGAGGCAGGGGTCCTCTGGCCACCCAAAGTCTTGTTCCACCGATACCTTTTATTCCAAAAGTGGGGCCCTGAGAAGGCTGCCGGACACACGCAAAGGCGTCCTGGTGCAGGTGGGCGCCCAGGGCTTGCACCAGCCCAATGGTGGTTGTGCTCTTCCCTTCTCCCAGGGGCGTTGGAGTTATTCTTCAAGATGAAAGCAAAAGAGGAAAATTACATTTAGGAGAATTAAATGGATGTCAGTCACTAAGTCAGCCCTAACAGATCCTAAAGAATGATTCTTAATCTGAATAAGAAAGATGAAGACCTGAAACGGTATTAGGAGTCTCAGCTGTAACTTCCTTCCAGTTTTAAATGAAAAAACACTGCTGTGCTTTAGCGCTTCTCACTGTAAGGACTAATTAGACTTTACCTTGTCGAAGGACACGGCTATGATTTACATCTCTCTCTCTTTTTTATATTATGATTTACATTTCTCAGTCCAGTCTCAGAAACTAATTTTTATATGTAACTCAGCCAAGCAATAAAAATGAATGTTCGATAGAGCTAATGAACTAATAAATTTGGGGTTAAGAGAAAGCAATTCCATATGAAGTCTAGGTTTTATGATCCAACTCTTCCACTTCCTAGATGAATAACTTGACAAATTTTCTCATCTCTGAAGGTTATAATCTACTCTGACCTCACAGTGTGGCTGTAAGGATCAAATTAGATAAAAATGCCTGTGAAAATGCTAAAACCATAGTGAAGGAGCCTCTACATATACATGCTGAGTACAAATGCAACCCCAAGTAATAATAATTGAGATTAATATTAAGATTTGACTGGCAAGTGAATAAAAACCACACCCGGTCACCACCACGTATTTCCCGTCGGGCTGCTGCTTCAGGCGGTCCAGCACTGACAGCAGAACTTTGGCCTTGGTTTTGCCATACAATTCCACCTCTTCAGAGAACAGCCCAATTTCTTGAGCCAGGTTACTGATGGGCTTTGGCTTGCAGGATCGTGATATTTCAATGTCACTTAAAAGAAAGATATAAAAGGTGAATTAATCTTTATTCATGTAATGAATTAATCCCAACCCCGCAATGACTCACCCCAACCACTGACAGCACTTTCAGAAGGGGTTATATGTATAGCCATGGCTACAAACCAACAACCCACAAAGATTTTTAAACGTGTAAACTTTTTTTTTCTTTATTGATTTTTAGAGAGAGAGAGAAGGAGGGGGAGAAGGAGAGAGAGAGAAACATTGATGAGAGAGAACATTGGCCGCCTCCTGCATGCCCCCCACTGGGGATCTGGCCCACAACCTGGGCATGTGTCCTGACCAGGAATTGAACCGGTGACACTCAACCACTGAGCCACACCAGCCGGGCTAAACATGTAAACTTTTTTTTTACCTTGGAACAGGTGTCTTGAGGTTAAGCTTGTTATACTCAATCCGCCACTTTCCTGACTTAAATTTCTCCAGGAAACGCTTTGCACTCTCTATTGTGCTCTAAACAAAATGACATAAATGGAATTTAGAGAGGTGTTTATTTTACCCGCCCCATCAACTTAATCCCAGGTCACTCAAGGTCAATCACAAAATGAACAGCTTTATGGTCCACCTATGAACATGCTTCAACTCGGGCTGCCTGCTGCTCCCCATCTCAGCTGTGTGCGTCAGAAAGGGCAAGCCAGCCCAAACATATTTAGCAAAGTCCGTGTGTCTGTACTTCTCTTTTCCTGAAGTTATATTCCAAAGTAAATTAGAATTGTGCCTTCCCTACTTTCTTCTACTAATATGACTGATTCTATTTCTTTGTTTTTCCATTCCCTTTTTTTTCTTCAACAGATTCACATCCTTACTTAGCTTCTGAGCAGGTTTTATGACATTTCTACTTGGGGAGAAAAGCAGTAACTCGAATTCTATCAGTTTCCTAGAATTATCATAGAAACATTTATTCAAACGCACCTGCATTAGCATTGCCACTGTCATGGGTCCGACGCCTCCAGGAACAGGCGTGATGAAGCCCGCCCTCTCTTTGGCCTCACTGTATGCCACATCGCCCACAACTTTCCTCCCACTTGGTTTACTATCATCTGGTCATGGGGGGGGAAAAAATCAAAGCAAAGTCTCAGATGCGTAATCCTGGTGTTTATTTCTAAATTAAGTGATCGACTACGACCACTTGTTCCGAAAACTAAGTAAAGTTTAGGGTGTGTAGTCCCATCTGGCTCAAGTGCTTACTTTAAAAGTTATGGGATGACAGGTGTTTGCTATTTCCTAAGGAGACGCTTATTTTACCTGCAAAAATTCACAAGATGCTTAAGTGGTTTTTCAGAACCAAAAGAATCCTTTTGTAGTCTGTCAGGTGACAGATACAATACCAACTGCTTTTTACTCTTAAAGCCAACTATCCAATTTATAATGAGCTCCTTTAAAAATGTTAATTTGCCAGGCCTACAGAGGAATTTTTTGGGTGCACAAAACTCTAACTATGTCACAGGTGCCAGATACCGTTTCTACAGCAACTGTCAGCATTTTGTAAGCTCCAGGCATGAGATGGAGGAACAATTCAACATCCAATTCCAAAGATGAGCAGCCACTTAAATGTATGCAAAAGGCAAAGAATATAATTACACTTCCCTTAAAAAGACACAAGAATAACTACAATTCTTACCAGCAAAGAATAGCTTATTCAAGGGAACAAAACCGGTGATGCATCATTGCTCACTCAAGCAGAAAACACCTCCACCTGGCTTCAGTGCACTTCCGGGAGGGGCTGGGGGACAGGGCTGGACCCTGAGCTCTAAGGCTTCAGAGGCAGGATCTGGTAGGATCACGGCTATTTCACCACCTCTCTCTGATCAGATCGCCAAAACTGAGAGAGGATGCTTCAGAGTACAAGCAGGTCCTCAAATAACGTCATTTCATTCAACGTCATTTTGTTATAACATAGATGAGAGAAAAAATTGATTCCCGGGTGGGGCCACTTCTGTGGATTTTGCACATTCTCCTCATGTCTGTATGGGTTTTCTCCCATATTCCAAAAAAGTGCACATTTAGTGAACTGGAGTGTCTAAATCATCCACTCTGAGTGTGGGTGTGTGTGATGCGCCCTATGATGGAAGGGGTCCTTCCAGGGCTGGCTCCTTCCTTGCTCCCTGAGCTGTAGGACTAGGCTCTAGCCACCTATGACCCTGAACTAAAAGAAGCAGGTTGAAAAATAATCTTTCCTACGTTTATTCATCTTTCTTAATTGTATGTATAGTTTACATTTATTTCTATGTTTAATATTAGAAGTGTTTCAGTCTTTTTTTTTTTTTTAATCCTCACCCGAGGACATTTTCCATTCTTTGCACAGATAGAGTGGGAGGGAGAGAGAGGAAGAGAGAGAGAGAAGGAAACATCGATGTGAAAGGGACACATCGAGTGGCTGCCACCCGCACGACCAACCAGGGCCGGGGACAAAATGCAACCGAGGTACATGCCCTTAGCGGGAACCGAACCCGGGTCTCTCCGGACCGCAGGTGGATGCTCTAACCGCTGAGCCAAACCGGCCAGGGCGAAGTGTTTCAGTCTTTAATTTAAAAGTTTGGTGATGCTTTTTGTGACTAGAAATGTACCATGGGAATTTAACTCATTTGTATCAATTAGCCTTCAGGAAAATTGGTTTCATTATACGTTGTTTCACTTAAAAACTGCCATTTCCAAGAACCTATAGACATTAATGGACGGCTTACTGTATAGCCAAAAGGCCAGAATCAAGAGACCTAGACTGTGGGACCAGCTCTTCCACTAACTGCTTGTCCTCAGCTCCTGTGGGCTCCTTACTGGTCAGAAGTCCAAAGATGCAAAGGACAATACTCCTTATTTCACAAGCCTGCTGAGAATCAAGTGAGAAAATGTGCATATTCTTGAAATTGAAAAAGCATTCCACAGACGTAAGAGTTTCTATTCCCATCCTAGACACATATCTATTTTCTATATATACGATAAGGACCTGATACACAAAAACTCCTCAGATAGTTTCAGGTTTTTAGAAGATTACACTGCTGCGTTGGCAGAACATTTCCTCTCAAAACCACTTCAGTTCAGAATGCCAAGGAAATACTGTTAAGGGTTTGTCCTTTGTACAGGTTTCAATAGTTTAATGCTGAAGTTAGCTTCAAATACCCCAGCACCTTTTTCTATTTATTAATGTTAGTCACTTTCTCCATGTTTCTCAATACATAGGAGACACACCAATTTTATTTTTAATTTATTTTTATCCTCACCTGAGGACATTTTTGCATTTATCTTCAGATAGAGCAGGAGGAGAGAGAGAGTAAGACAGAGAGAAACATCGATGTGAGAGAGACACATTGACTGGCTGCCACCCACACAACCCCAACCAGGGCGGGGACGAATTGCAACTGAGGTACATGCCCATAGCGGGAACCGAACCCAGGACTCTCTGGTCCGCGGGCTGGCACTCTAACCGCTGAGCCAAACTGGCCAGGGCAAGACACATCAATTTACTGCACAACCAAATGCCACACTGGATGAACTCAGTTTTGCTACTTCACCAAACACCATTGTGGAAAGTGTGATGTGGTTAGTGGAAAAAGTGACCACTTCTCAATATAAGTAAGTGTATGGCTTTAGTAACCAACAAACATCTTGGTTAAATACCCCAGGCCTAGAACTTCTTTTTCATTGGGAATTATAGATGCAAAATTCAACTGAAGATCCAGCCGAGACCTGACTCCTTCACATTTAATTTGGGGACCCCGTAATAATAGAGTCCAGTGTAGAAGCCACTATGCTGGGTGAGCGGAGACTGGATTGGGATTGGGTGGGGAATCTGTTCCCTTTTTATAACCTCTCCAAATAAACCTTACCACTAATCTAGCCCTTCTCAAATTATCTTTAGTAAGCCAAGCAGAAAGAACTCTTTGATGTGTTTCTCTGGCCAATTCTTTCTGCTGTGTACTTGAAACTTAAAAAATATGCCTTTTTTGAGGAAATAAAGAAAAATACACACTTTAATTCATTTTTATTTAGCAAGTGACTTATAATGTTATACCTGAGTGGACCATACAAAGATTTATTTATTTTTAAAATTATTTTTATTAATTTGCTTTTGTTACAGATGTTTCTTTCCTCCCCATTGACACCCTCCTTCCCATGCCTCCCCCCGCAGCCCCTTCCCCAGCTTTGTTGTCTATGTCCATTGGTTATGCATACATGCATATAAGTTCTGTGGTTTATCTCTCCCCCCCAACCCCCCCTCTTCTGGGGTTTGTCAGTCTGTACCTTACCTCTATGTCTCTGGGTCAATTTTGTTAATCAGTTTGTTTAGTTTATTATATTCCACAAATAAGTGAGATTATGTGATATTTGTCTTTCTCTACTTGGCTTGTTTCGCTTAGCATAATATTCTCCAGGTCCCTCTATATCATCTGAAATGATAAGAGATCTTTCTTTCTTACAGCTGCATAGTACTCCATTGTGTATGTGTACCACTGCTTTTTTATCCATTCATCTACCGATGGACACTTGGGCTGTTTCCAGATCTTAGCTATTGTAAATAGTGCTGCTATGAACATAGGGGTACATATATTTTTTCTGATTGGTGTTTCGGGCTTCTTAGGGTATATTCCTAGAAGTGGGATCACTGGCTCAAATGGCAGTTCCATTTTTAACTTTTTTTTTTTTTTTAAGGATTTTGTTCACTGCTTTATTCTTACAAGTGCTTCAATATTCAAAACACAATTCTTTTTGCCAGCATTTGGCGTGTCTAAAAGAGGTTAGAAAAAGTTAGAATCCATAGAATTAGGTGTCTAAAAATAGAAAAAACCCTAAACATTTAAAAATTCCTCAGGTCCTGCGTAGAAATAAAATTCATTAGCAAAAAGAATGTTTTAGGTCGGAAATGCTGTATTTTACAACTCCAGATCCTGACCTAGACTTGACCGGTGAGGATTCCACGCACTGTATGAATGTCAGGAGAGAAGCCATTCCACTGGCCAGTTCTGGCATGTGACCTACCTGGCTTGCAAAGTTTTATACATCTCTTAAACCTAAACCTCCTGGTTCTCTGACATCGACTGTCTTAACCTTAATTCTCAATGATGTTTTAAACAAACAAACAAAAATTTTCCCTGCGAGATCATACATTTAAATATTTGTTGCTTGTGGATGAAAACAGAGAAACCAAGTACTGATATGAATTAACAATTCAGTGATGGAGCAGTGAACTCTGGATGGCTATGTAAGCAGTAAGGAAAGTCCCTCACTAATCCTGCACTTGCTGTGCACACCAGAGGTGACCACCCTGGCAAGGTCAACAGGAAGAGGGTGTGAACCCCAGCAGCTGCTCGATGGGTTTAAACTGCCACTCATACACCACACCAGCTAGTTTTTCCATCCGAGCAACTTGCTGATCATTTTCACCTGCTTCAGAGTAGACGCCACCTGATAGCTGAACACAGATTCACAGAGGAATCTCTCAGAGCCATCTTCTAACATCTCCCCAGCTCTTTGGGGTAGGTGAGAAGGGCTGTCCGTGGTGGGGCAAGGTCTGAGACACTGAAACCAGATCCAGTGACAGAACGTCTACTGACCCCACCAGCTGAGGAGGAGGATGAAGAGGCAGCCATTTCCTTTCTAGTAGAATTCTCACGTCACTCAGCAGCTTTGGCACTTTCCCCTGCAGCCCCACCCCCAGCGCATGAGCCAGGGTGGAGGACAGCCTCCATTTTTAACTTTCTGAGGGAACACCATACTGTTTTCCATAGTGGCTGCACCAGTCTACATTCCCACCAGCAGTGTACTAGAGTCCCCTTTTCTCCACACCCTCGCCAACACTTGTTGTTCGATGATTTGTTGATGGTGGCCATTCTGACAGGGGTGAGGTGATACCTCATTGTTGTTTTAGTTTGCATTTCTCTGATGATTAGTGACATTGAGCATTTCTTCATATTTCTCTTGGCCACTTGTATGTCCTGCTTGGAAAGGTGTCTATTTAGCTCCTCTGCACATTTTTTAATTGGGCATATTGTCTTGGGTCCATTTCTGGGTTCTCTGTTCTGTTCCACTGGTCTATATGCCTGTT